GTCAAGAGTAGTGAGTGATTTTTCTCTTTGTGTTTTATTAACATTAAAACAATATTTCACCCAAAAATAAAAATTCTGTCATCTGTCTGTCAATTCTGTCATAGTGTTTTATTTTTATACCATCATTACTCACTCAAAAGTTGTTTTAAACCTGAATGAGTTTCTTTGTTCTGCTGAACATAAATGCTATTTTGAAGAATGTGGAAAACCAAACAGCTGCTGGTCCACAGTGACTTCCATAGTATTTTTTCCTAAAGTCAGTGGGGACCAGCTACTGTTTGGTTGTGAGTAAACAATGACAGAAATTACATTTTAGGGTGAACTATCCCTTTAATGACAGTAGGCAGCATGTTTAGTACTGTCCCTTTAAAGGAGACATATTATGCCCCTTTTTACAATATGTAATATAAGTCTCTGGTGTCCCCAGAATGTGTCTGGAAGGGGGAATGGTCCATGGGTAATAGTCCTGCCACCACAGCTGGAAAAAATCCTAGAGGAAACACTGACCTACCCTGCCTTTAATGGAACATTTGTTATCTGTTAGATCATAATAGAAGGTAAGTTATGTTGGCATAAAACGTTAGCATTAAAACATATTTATACACAATTCATGAAATGTTTTTTTTTTCAGAATAGTTAGACTTAGTTTAGTTAAGTTTAGTTATACGTTTTTTTTTTTAAACTTCTACTTTTTTAGGACTTAATTTTCCAATTAAGTAACATTAATTGGAACACTAGCAAGACATTTTTAGTTTGTATTTTGGTAGCTGGGATATGTGCTGAAATTAATAGTTTGAATACACTGTAAATTACTTCGATTTAAAACATCTGCTAAATGCATAAATGTAATATTAATATAATGTTCCCAGTGTACAGGGAAGATGTCAGAATTTGAAATGAGGAAGAGGAAGAGGAAGAGATCTTCATCTCCAGAACCCAGCTGTGTGTCTCTGAAGAGCAGTCAATCCATAAATCCTCCTCTTGAATTCAGTGATGAACCAGTGACCTCTGACCCCAGGTGATTATCAACATGTATTTGGTGATTTATCTGCTGTAGTGACAATATTTTAAGACAATTATAAAAATCACTGCACAATGTCATTGTTTACTGATATAGCAAGATAAATCTAATGAAATGTGCAAATAATATAATAATACCTATTATTTATAGGCACCTTTTACGGCACTCAACGACACCTTACAACAAAAGTCAATAAAATACAATCTATACAAAACAAAGACAAACAAATCAAACAATCAAATCACTAAAAGCCTTTCTAAACCAATAAGTTTTAATCTGAGTTTTAAACTGGGATATAGAATCCAGCTGGTGGATTTGCAATGGTGAACCCTAGTTCCCAGAGGGAATGAGACGCTGCGTTGAAACGCTTTGGGAACGCTTCTGCGTGACCGCGCTCTGAATCATGTGTGGAATGGTGAGACGTCACGGGCGGGGTGACGTAACGGCCGGGAAGTATAAAAGCACATGCGGTGGATACAGCAGCAGCTTCTGAAAGGTGAAGGAAGTGCTCACAGGGATGCAGGAAGTATGGCATGAGACACAGCGTCTCGTTTCCTCGGGGAACTAGGGTTACATACGTAACCTAGTGACATTCCCCTTCAAGAACTCGCGCTGCGTCGAAACGCTTTAGGAACGAGAATGTCCACACCTCCATGCTTACAAGTCCCTGCCTAGTATGGATGGGCACAGCTAGGTTGAGAGAACAGAAGAGCCAGGAGTGGCGTCAAGGTTATAGAACCGGACAAACGTAAGTGGAGTGGACTAGGGCTGTCAAAATGACTGAAAAACTAAATTTGAATTTTTTACTTAAATATTAGCAATATTCAAATTATATTCGAATTTAAAAGGCATAATTTCAGTTAGGGGGAAAAAAGCTCTTGGCTTCTCTCCTGACAAGAGGGCGCATTGAGCAAAATATTATGCACATTTCTTCAAAGCATAATAAAATAACACGACTATCTTTGAAAAAAGTGCATAATGTTTAAAATAATGTTTATAAATAGGGATGTAACTGTATGAAAATTTCTTTTCACGATTATAGTGACCAAAATTATCACGGTTATCAGTATTATCACGCTATTGTTAAAATGTGCTGGATATGTTAAAAAAGTACCGACACATAAATCACTTCACCAAGTTTTATATTTAAAAATGATGACGTGGCAGCCTTCCGTTTGAGAAACACCCAATATGTGAAGTTTGAATTGGAACAGTACTTGGGCGACGACTGATGACGCTCCACAAGAACACAAGTACAGACAAGAACGCATACTGAGAAACGGCCCAGATTGTGGGGGATTTTGTAATCTTTTCTGAAATTATGTAAATCAAAAACGTAAAAGTAACTTATTTCCACTGAAGCTATATTTAGGTGATGTAATTTGTCCTCTGTAAAATAAGAAGAGAGAAAAAAAGTTGAATTTAGGGCTGGGCGATAAAACGATAACTGTAATTATGACGATATAAACATAAACATTTTGCCCTTGATAAAACGACAACACGTGTCCGATAAATGTTGTTTGTGCGTCTGAAGCAGGACAATTCAGCAAAGAACACAAATGTCTTGTGATTTATTTTAAAGCCAAATGAAACGACCCTCTAAAAATATGTTGTTACAGTTTTTACAGATGTTGCTGTTTTTGTTAATGAACATACATTTACATCTGCATCGTGCCATCAGGAACACAAACCGGTCGTTTGTACGGACAGTCCGACCCAATACGGCTCAGTTTTTCTATGTATCTTGCTCTGTCGAGCAGCAGAAGTGATTCTACATGGCACATACTGGGTTAACACCATGCTTTTCCAGTCAGGGGGAAATGCCGACTCCGCCCCCACGCCACACCCACAGCTATGACGCAACACCGAGCAAGTCTATATCATTGATGTTCGCAGAGAACATCCCAAATAACAGGGCAAACGTTCTGGCAAAGTTAAGAACAAACGTCTTTCCAGTAACCTTAAAGGTAGGGTAAGCGATTTCGGAGAGGCTAGCAATAGCAAGCTAGCTTTGAAAGCATAAGACTCCACCCTCCCTGCGTAATCACTCTGTAAAGCCACGCCTCCTCCGAAACACATGACCACACACAGGCAGAGCAGAGGCTAATCAGCGACACGACGAGTGGAGGATTGAATGCAACTAGGGCTGGGCGATATAGCAAAAATATCATATCACGATTTTTTTTTTTTCAGAAATATCACGATTCTTTGTCATGTTGGTTTTACTATTTTGCGAGTTGTCTGAGCATTACAGCCAAACTAATTTCCCTATTATAAAGACAAGGCCTTTCATGGAAACAAATTATAAAAAAAGAATGGCGGACATTTAGGCGAAGATACAAATTTTTGTCATTATTTTGTCATTAATATATTTGTCATTATTTTATCTCAAGAACAAAGATACACATTACAAATACACATAATATACAAATAAAACAAACAGTGTTTTATTTTTAGGTACAATAGGTGTATTTAGCAGGAGCATTCAAGAAATTGAATGAACAAATATAAGAATAAAACACTAAATAGACTGATTCCTATTAAAGCAACTGTATTAAAGTTTTTCAGTCAAGAGTAGTGAGTGATTTTTCTCTTTGTGTTTTATTAACATTAAAACAATATTTCACCCAAAAATAAAAATTCTGTCATCTGTCTGTCAATTCTGTCATAGTGTTTTATTTTTATACCATCATTACTCACTCAAAAGTTAGTTGTTTTATGAATGAGTTTCTTTGTTCTGCTGAACATAAATGCTATTTTGAAGAATGTGGAAAACCAAACAGCTGCTGGTCCACAGTGACTTCCATAGTATTTTTTCCTAAAGTCAATGGGGACCAGCTACTGTTTGGTTGTGAGTAAACAATGACAGAAATTACATTTTAGGGTGAACTATCCCTTTAATGACAGTAGGCAGCATGTTTAGTACTGTCCCTTTAAAGGAGACATATTATGCCCCTTTTTACAATATGTAATATAAGTCTCTGGTGTCCCCAGAATGTGTCTGTGAAGTTTCAGCTCAAAATACCCCACAGATCATTTATTATATCGTTGTGAAAATGCCTATTTTGAGCGGAAGCAAAAACACGCTGTTTTTCGGGCCTGTCTCTTTAAATGCAAATGAGCTGCTGCTCAC